GGACCCTTTCTCTAATCTGTGCCACACTTTGTCATGTTGGCCCCAAGGCAGCGCTATGTTCAGCGTCTCCCAAAATTTCTTTTAAAGACATTTTTATCAGCATCTGGTGCTCACCAATGACTCAGTCTCCGGGCTCAGGTTCAATCCAAGTGGTGGTGTGGGAGTTCATTGTTGTCTCATGCCTTCTATTGGTCCCTTTGAGACCCAAACTTCCAACCACACTTTCCATCCTCCCCCAAATATCAGTGAATGTGAGAGTCCCAGCTCAACCAGCCCATGACTCTTATAACTAAAGTGTGAATCATTACAAGGTTGTTAGTAGTGTGGGAAGCAGGAATAGGATTTTATTTTTAACTTATCTTTAAGGCATGGATAAATTTAATATTAATTATTTTGTGGGGATTTTTTTTTTTCAGTTTAGAACTCAAATCTTTCTTTGTGCTGTAAAGGAGAAGAGAAATGCTTAGTAATAATATACATAATGCAACAGGACTAGTTCTTACCATACAGAGCAACATACAAGCACTTTGACAGCCTACCTTTACAGTTTTAATTTCACAATGGCATACTTGAACATATTTCCCCATACATGCATGCCTAATACTTCTTAAATTCCAATGATTCATTGTATCATACCTGAATCATTAGTTAAGACTTGAACTATCATGCAAACATATTTTTAAACATTAAAAAAATAAAATAAAAAAAGAACCCAGAAGGCAGAAAAATCCCAAAGGAAAAAGTATTGAGGATTTTTAAATTTTTAAGTAAAATTTAAGGGGGAAGAGGGACATATTAAAAAAAAAAACCCACCATGAGAATACTTTACCAATTTAATAGATAAAACTCAGAAACAAATATTAACATAAAGGGTTTTCAGACCTTCCCTTTAATTTTCACAAAAGATCACAACTTACAAAGGTCCACCCTCTCCACTCCTTGCCCCACCCTGTGTTTTGCTCTTATTCTCCCAAAATGATTTTGGCTGATAGTTTATTCTCTACTGCTGGATTATTTAAAAAGCACAAAGAAACATTTAAACTAAAGCTGGCGATGGATTATTAACTCTAACCTTAGCAAGAGTGCATGATCTCTGTTTGTTACCAAACAGTACAGGAAGTTTACAGCGACCACAAAAGATTATTTGGTTCTTGTTTATAATGACTATGAAAAGATAATAGTAAGCAGAAACTTTTGCAGTTATTGATTCTGACCACAAACACAGAAAAGACAAAAGATGTGTTTGTAAGGCACTACTCAACAGACAAAATTTCTTCAGAATTCATTGCATTTTCACTTAGAATTTTCAATCACAAACTATCTCAGTGGGGGGAAATAAAATGAGTTACAAACCCAGAAGAGTGTATCTAACTTCATTTTACGTGCACACCAAAATCTCACACTGAAATGCCTTTAAAGTCCACGTGGAGCTGCGTCCCCCCAGGTCAAGTTCCCCTCTTCCTGCGGCAGCTCGGTCGCCCAGCCTGGGGTGTTGCTGTCCACTCTTGGGTGACGCTAGGCACTTGCCATGCAGCGTTCCCCAAGATCCTGTCTCCTTTTTAACCTTCCTTTTCTTTGCACCCCCACCCCCGGTCTAATCTTACTCTGTCATTTCCTCCATCTGTCCCCAGGCCCTATACTAACCACTTCCTCCCCCACAACTAAACCAGGGTGGTACTTTTTGCCACTCACTCCTCTGTGTTGTGTTTAATGGTATCATTTTACTTTCATTTTGAGATAACTTCAAACTAGACAAGAGTTGCAATGATTGTATAAAGATCTCCCATGTACCCTTCACCCAGTATACACCAGTATGTGAGTCATTTGGCACATTTGCTTTATATCTCCCTTCTTCCCATTCTCTCTTTTACACACACACAAACATACACACGCACACACTTTTTTCCATAATAATTTGAGATTTATTTGTAGAAATCATACTCCTTTACCCTCAAGTACTTCAGATCTTACATAAGTATGTTTTCTTACCTAATTATCAAATTCAGAAAATTTGATGCCGATATAATACTATTACTTAATACATGGTCCACGTTAAAAGTTTGCCATTTGTCCCAATAATATTCTTCATGGCAATCTCTTCCTTCCCTTCCCACCTCCAGGATCATGCTTAGTTGTGGCGTCTTTGTAATCATCTTTAAACTTTGTCTACCATGACATCTTCACTTCTGAAGATTACAGGGCAGTTGTTTTGTAAATGTCTCTCAATTTGGGTTTGTCTGATGACTGCATTCAGGGTAGCCTTTTTCACATAATTAGAACTTCAGGCTTGCATAGGCTATTTTTACTACAAAGCAAAAGTTGAATTTAAAGGTCATCACACCCTCTCCACAGACTCCCATTGCTTCAAGAGTGGCTAATCTCACCTGTATGCTAAGAGGAACGCATTTGATAAACTAGCTCACTTTGAGGTATTAGTACTGAAGACGGTACCTGAGTCCATAAACCTGCTAGGCATCACTGTATGTTAAGAGAAAAATCTATTAACCCAAAGGATGCAATTTCTCAAAAAAGTCACAAGAATTTGCTTGTACTTGCAGGTGTGCGCCTGCTTTCTATATACCTGTTCAAGGGTGAGAAGCAATACAATTTTACAAAAGGCCCTCACTATGAAACACTGCAGCAGTCGTCTGCTTTCTATAATAGATGCAATAACTGACTAATGAAGCTGTTAATCTGTCTTTACTTTGTCTAGTTCTCCTAGTGATTAATTTCACGTAGCAAGGCCTTTAGGGACTCAGTTCAGAGCACTTAACGTTTGGATTGCACAATTTCTAATGTTTGGGAGAGAAAGCACAGCCAAAGCCAGGCTGGTTGGGCAGTGGGAGTTCCAGCAAGAGCACTGAGTGCCAGGTGAGTGGTGAGCGGGGAGCAGTGATAAAAGAGGGGTCCTGAGAGGGAGGTGAGGTCACAGACAAATCTTTCTCTGTCTTCAAGTTTGCCTAAGGTTGGCTCATTTCTGCTTATGCCCACTAACCAAAAAGAGAGAAAAAAAGAGATCAAGGTTATTAACAAAATACAGAATTTCTTAATGAGGATTTCAAGTATAGATTTTATTGAAGCCTGACATTTTGAAGCAAATATCTGTTCTTATAATGAAAATTTGTTATGAAGTGAGTAAAGGAAATAGTTGTGTCCCCCCTTCCCCCCCCCCACACACCCTCCCTTATCTTTAATACAGCAAGGAAGCAAAGCAATCTCTTTACAGTTCCCAGGCAACGTTCCCAGCAACCTCACATCTCTATGTTCTTTCTTTTCTTTGTAGAAACAGCAGCACCAGCAGCAACTTTTGCACATAGTTCTTGGGAGGAAGAGGTGTTAAGATACAGACCACATGTACAAAACTAGTTCCTCTGTTACAGGCAAGATGAGCGGCACAAACGGGAGTTGGTATGTTACGGAGTGGCTAAAGAAATAACCAATGGATGTCATCTGTGGGATGGGTGACTTATATTGCACCCTCGAAATACAGGCTTCCTATAGAGGAGTAAACGTAGGTCTGTGGAGTCCTAGAGTTGGGAGAACATTCATGTCACCTTAATCAGATATTGAGCCCAGACCACACTGAAAGTTTTAGGGGAAGTGTATCATTTAAGCTAGTATCTATATGATAACAATGTGAGAAAGTGAGATACTTATCATGCTCATTTGCTTAAAAAGTTAACATTAAAGTACATTTAGATAATACAATTAAAAAGAGTTCTGGGGTTAGGTAATTCAGTGTACGATAGCTTTAAAGCATTACCTATAGTCAGATGTCCTATAATTTAGTTTAATCTTTAAAATTGTTGTTGTTAGAAAACTGATTGGATCTTGAAAGTTGTCATCACAAGGAAAAATAAATTTGTGATTATGGCTGGTGTCAATGTTAACTGGACTTATTGTGGTGACCATTTTGCAATATATACAAATATTGAATTCTTATGTGATGTTATGCCAATTGTACCTCAATAAAAATATAGTAAATGAATAAATAACCACTAGTTATATCCCTGCCAACATGCTTTAAATAAAGCTTTCAGTTTCCCATAATTTCTTTTAAAGTTCACTTTGTAAATGCACCTTGCTCATAAGTCTTCCAGTGAGTGTAAAAGGGCTTCATTAATGTCTTCATTTGATCTATAGCAATCTTGATTTATTGAATTCTCCTTGCTCTAATTTAGAAGATGGAGCTGGTTCTCTGGCATCTCAGTATGGACAGGAATGATCAGAACCTCTCATTTTAGGGTTTTATTTGCACAAACATTTGTGGTCCTAAAAATTTGGGGATAAGAATAATGTAGTTATTGCTCCTATTTTGCAAACTTGAATGACCTATGCACCAGTGTCTTCACTGCTAGCAAGGAGAACAATTTCTAGTCAGTGGTGTTTAAGATAAGTTTCCAATTCAGCAATTTTAGTTGGAAAAAGAAAACAGAACTATTTTTATAGTCTTTTCGGAGGTATTGACCTCCTCTGATTGAGCAGGTTTGGGGCTTCTCTCTTCCCTCTTCTTTCCTCGGATGAGCTTCCTCTCCAGAGTCTTCTTCTGGGGAAATAGTTATAATGTTGACTAAGACGATTGTTTGGCCGAAAAAAAGGACGGTAATGAAAACGGTGGTTGCACCTCGGAGGGAGGAAAGGTCTGTTTGGAAACCTGATTTGGACTCTGGGCCTCCGTGTTGGGAAAAAATGGAAAGGACATTTGGGTGTCCTTGTGATGGGCTGGATCCTTGTCACCGGCCTCCTTGTGGCAGGTGGAGGGGTGAGTGTGAAGATCTGGCAGTCTGTAGGGCCCTCAGTTTGTGAGCCTCCGGGAGGGGTGACTACTTGTCCTGTGGGGAGAAAAATGCAAGTCAGGAAAAGCCTGATAACAGCAGCAGAAGGGAGATGCTTGAGGGGCGGCAGGAGAGCGCGATTAGAAGGGAGAAAGGGAGAGGTCTGAGTGCGTTTGGAAGAACTGCCAATGTTCAGTGAAATGAAACATGGACACACCTTATGATCCCACAGTTGCACTCTGGGAATTTACCCAAAAGAAATGAGTGTATATGTCTACAAAAGACTAGTTTAAGAAGATTCATAGCAGCCGCATTCATATTAGCCTAAACTGGGATACAACACAAAGGTCCATCCATCGGAGAATGTATAAACAGACTGTAGATATTCATACAATGAAATAGAACTCAGCAATGAAAAGGAAGAATTACTAATACAACAATATGGATGCATCCCACAGATGTTATGTTGGGCAAAATATTCCATTTGTATCAAGTTCAAGAACAAGCTATACTAATCTATGATTTTAAAAAATGTAAAAAAAAAATAGCTTAGGGTTGAAGTAGGTATTATTTAGTGGAAAAAGTAACCAGGGAACTCTTTAGATCTTTATCTTGGTAGTTGTTACATAGATATGGAGATAAAGATTATATATGTGTGTGTGTGTGTATGTGTGTGTGTGTGTATACCCACATACACTTATGTATACATATCTACACACATGTTTATACACACATATATGTATGTATGTGTAAAATGTGATCAATATATACCTTTAAGATTTGTGTATTTATAGTCAGAGAAAGATAAATATATGATTTCACTTCAAGTGGAATCTAATGAACAAACTAAACTAACAAGCAAAATAGAAACAGACTCATACAGAGAACAGACTGACAGCTGTCAGGGGGGTGGAGGGTTAGGGGCTGGGTGAAAAAGGTGAAGGGATTAAGCAAAAATACAACAACAAAAAAACCCCTCATAGACAGACCAAAATATGACAACTACCAGAAGGAAAGAGGGGGATGGGTAGGAGAGGGTAAAGGGGGAATAAATGGTGATGGAAGATGTGACTTGGGGTGGTAAACATACAATTCAATATATGGATGATGTATTATAGAATTCTACCCCTGAAACCAATGTAATTGTATTAACAAATGTCACCCCAATAAATTCAATTAGAAAAGATTTATACATTTTATTGTATATAAATTATAACTAAATAAAGAAAATTAGTTGAGAAACAGAACTTAGTGCTAAGAAAATAAAAATAACTGCCCTTCACCCCAACAGGCCATTCATCCAAAGGCCTGCTTCACCTTCCCCAAGGAGGAGGCAGGGAGCCTCTGCACGCAGCAGGGGAACAAGCACTGGGGACCAGGAAAACATTAGTTTCTGAGAAGAAATTTGGATGAAGCTCAAGTGTCCAGGTCTTCCCGCTAGCTGTATCATCTACTTGAAAGTAAGCTTCCCTTTAGAAAATTATTCCTTCACTCCCCTAGCGACTTACCAATGTAGACCCGGAAAGGACTGCTGCGTGTGAATGATGGGAAATTGAGCTCCTCACAGGAAGTTGGGAGTACTGAGGCCCTTAAAAAGAGCTAGATACCCCTCACCGTTAGAACAACTGAATTCAGGTTTCTTGGTTGTATTGGATATGCTTATTGCCTGCCTGTGCTCATAGTCCCTCCCAGAGATTCTGTTTCACCCACAACCCCTGGAAAGATCAACCCTGTACACTTTTGGCTATGGCTGATTGGACTGCTGTTAGACACTTCCCTCATTCATTGCCTGGCCAGTGACCAATCAGATTCTCACTTGAGAATTTCAACAGAGACACAGTCAGTGGAAGGTGTAAGACAGGAGCTGGGTTAGGTTTTGGTCAGTTGAATGTTGAGTAAGCCGAGAAGCCCGTCTTTCCATAGAAACTATAAAATGGGGAAGGCCTCTCAAAGAGAAAAAGAGACAAGAGACCATGTGGTAACAGAGTGATGAGGAAAGTAGCCTTGATTCCTGACTTTCCAGGGCTGGTCTGACTGAGGGCTGGTTGTATTTAAAGTCTTAGAGATATTCTTATAATAACCACTCCACTTCCAGTTCTACTCTTTTTTACAGCTAGCTTGAATTGGTGTCTATTCCTTGAAGGACATACTGACCCTTTCTTCCAGACCCATCTAGGCTACTGAGTATTGAAATTCTATGACTGAAACTAGATTAAAATATTTCAAACTACAGAAGATGATTAAATCCCACACTACTCATCCTTTCCTCATACAAAATTAGATCAGTTCTGAACCCTTTGTAACATAAAAATCTGCTGAGATTCCAGTTGCTAGGGGAGAAGCTAGCCTTACTCTTAATCCCCATCTTGACACTTTGCTGTCAGATCAGGTTTAGACAGACCTTGAGCTCTGTCACTCAGTGAGCTGCATTCCAGCTGTACAAACCAACCAACCGTCCGACCAACCCACTCCTGTGCTCATCTTGTTTCTTAAAACCTGAAGCTACCCCCCAAATCCCCAGCTGACAGTGGGTGTTAGAACCTGCTAGGCAGCTTTTCTTCTGACTCTGGGATGTCCTGAGGTGTTCAGTGTTTTCTTCTGGGAATTTCTGTGGGCTCAAGATCAAGGTACAAGTTTGTCCATTAACCAACCTAAGAATGTGGGCAAGCCCACATAAAACCACATTCTTCCAGCAGACTAGACACATGGTGACTATTTCAGGTCACTGGTTGGCTAGCACAAGTGCTCCAAAATGGGGAAGCCACAGGGATTGAGTTGGGGACTGTCACACATTCTTTACAAGGTTAAGGCCAAACATCTGGGTGAGGGGGTGATGCCATTCATGGTCTCCAACTTTGACTGAGTTAATATTTCTCATTAATTCTTTTTGTTAAAAATGCTATCTTTATTTTTTTAAACATATTTTTATTGATTTCAGAGAGGAAGGGAGAGGGGAAGAGAGAGATAGAAACATCAATGATGAGAGAGAATCATTGACCAGCTACCTCCTGCACGCCCCCTACTGGGGGTTGAGCCCACAACCCAGGCATGTGCCCTTGACTGGGATCAAAGCTGGGACCCTTCAGTCCACAGGCTGACACTCTATCCACTGAGCCAAACTAGCTAGAGCTCATTAGTTCTTTTGTTTATCCTTGTTCTGCTCAATTCCCACTGTCTTCTAAACCTTTAATATGCTCCTCAAAGCTGCTTCAAAATTCCCATTCTTCTTCCTTTACCTGAAGAATTCTCTTCTAAAGTCTCCCTACCTTTCTAAGTAATTTACTTAGCTTAATACTTCAGAGAGAAATCTTTGGTGATCTGCCATGAAATTCCCTGGTTTCTACTCTCATTGCAAAGAAAAGTCTGCACACTTCTGAGTCTGTCACCCCTCCCCCACCTATTAAATCCATTGGAATCTGACTGCCTCCTCCACTCCCCAAAGGCTACTTTGGCAAAAGTCACCAGTGATTATGGGCTTTAAAAACGTTGGTTCCAGGTGCTTAGAGCACCATGTCCTGCCATCGTTGCTTGGCTTACTTCTATGCAGATTTCATATCTAATTTCTCCAGGGAGGCCTCAATCCTGAGGCTGTGTTAAGACAATATGCAGCATGCTTCCATAGCATCCTGTGAGCCCGTGATACTCATGAGTCATGTGATTACTCTTCAGAGGTTATATTCCTCCTCCACTGAAATATCCACTTGACCATCCTGTAGACCACATCCTTTGACCTCACCCCCAGCATGGTACCTAGAGTAGAATTGATTGATTGGGAGAAATCTGTTTCGATAACTGCAAACGTTACCATGTTCCTGTCTCTCAGGGATAATGCAATGGTTACTAAGCAAATAGTTCCCACTATGTAACATACTGACATGCCACCAAAGACACTCAATATCAAAGATGAGAGTGCCTCTGCAACCTTATTCAGGCCAAAGTAGGTCAAATACTTAAATGCAGATTAAAAACATTTTGAGAGGCAGAACAGCATAATGTTTAAAAGCTTAGGCTCGAGCCAGGTGTCCCGAGCTCTGCCGTTTAACAACTGCGTGGCCATAGACGGGTTCCTTAACTTCTCTGAGTCTCCTTTTCCTTATTTGTAAAATGGAGAAAATAATACTGCCTATCTCACTGGTTTGTCGTATTATCTGAAATAAGATGTAAAGTGCTCAGAACATTCCTGAGCCACAGTATGCAGTTAGTGGTGTTAGCTACTGTTGTGATTAACCTTCAATGCTATGGAAAGATTCTGTTAGCAAGAGCCCAATGTTCTTGGTTCCATTTGGTTACACTTTATACATAAAATCTGTGCACTATCGATAGGACTAAAGGGTACAGATCTTATTACAACAGGACCTCCATGAAGACAGGGACTGCTGACTTTGCGGGTCACTGCTATGTCCCTAGCATCTAGAATAATCCCTGGCTTAGAGTGGTGCCCAGACACATTGCAAATATGTGGATCTGATATGGAATGAATGGCCAGCCAGACATTGAATTTTCTTCTCTATAGATTTTTGTAAAGCTCAGTGAATATTTAATGTCAGTCCTAGAAAATTCACAATAATAACTTACATTTAAAATTAGAGTAAAATAAAAAAATTAAGCCAAAATATTGCTTAGAGTTTAGATATCAATTTTAAGTCGGTTTATTATAGTCTAGACATAAAACTCATAGCATACCAGCAACTAGTACTTTAAAAAAAAAAGGATAAAAAGACTTCTATATAAATATGTAATTACCTGTAGTCTGTGGTTATTTGGGCAGACAATAGTTGGGTTGTAGAGAACTATACAGATTTTAAGAGAAGTAAGCTTCATACTTGATTTATAAGTACTAGTATGCAGTCCTTCCTTTCCATGACACATGGAGTATTAGAAAAATCCACACATGCTTTTGGAATTGAACCAGAAAAAAATATAAATCCTGTGATTAATTTACTCACCACTCAACCTAATTTTTGACTTAGTTAACTGCAACTCAGTTCATTGTGTAGACTCACAGAATGAATGACTGGCTATCTTGGTCATATCTCTAATTTTACAGGTAAATAATTTGGAGCTCAGAAAGTGTCACGCAGGCTTATTTCATTTTCAGCAGCACACAGGGTTCCATGCTAGATGCTGTGGCGCATGCAGAGACGATAAAGACCCGGCCTGAGTCAGGAGTGCAGATGCGCTGCAAATACGTGGATTTGTAATATGGAGCAGAATGCAGCGATGCCATGGGTGGTGTACAAGTTACTATAAGTATTATTCCAAGATATCGGAGAGATTGCAATTTTGTCTTAAGAAAGCCTTTGTGAAAGCAGTACCATAGTGACATTTAAACATTGTCATGAGAAGCAGAATTGCAGTAAACAGGGGGCAGAACAGGCAGAGAGGCAGCCCAGCCTGCCAGGGAGAGGAGAGGGTGAGGGTTGTGGAAATGAGCAATGAGCTGGGACCAGGGTGGCTTGGATAGAGTGACGCTACATTGGATGGACTTCCATGTCCGTCTCAGGGACAGTGGGGAAGTGTGAGTCAAGGTCAGAAATCACATCTCACATTTTAATTGGTGTTCTTTTGGTATGAATAAACCTCTAATCTCATTATAACCGGTTTAGCTACACATTACAGTTTCCTGACGAATGGTTCACTTTCTGAATTGAAGGCATGAGGTGGCTAGTTCTGTTTATGGTATTTCTTTTAGATGTCACTTTTAGCAAGTGATGCTTGGGGGCCTTGTCTTAGAAAGAAGTGGGGCAGGGGTTATTTGTAATCTCTGTTTCCTGCCCTCTCATCACCGGAGTTCATGCAGAGAGTGGACAGGGTGAGCTCTGGTGGTTTCTCCACCAGCTCTAAGGTCTCTGCCCCTCTCTGCTCTGCTGTGAGCGTTGGGGGATGGAAGCAGGGAACTTGTTGGAGGCTGACTAGCTTCTGGCTGGGCCGATGCAAATCCCCCAGGGGCATGTGAAGGGGAGAAAGATTCAGTGTGACTCCTGGGTCTCTACTCCCTGAACCATAGTTAGTTCTGGAGCGAAGGGAAACAGTCATCAGACCCAGGTCTCCCAGTTTCTTCTTCCTCTCTTCTCCTCTTTTTATCTTTTTCTTTCATTTCCCCAGAGGTTTGTAAACCAAATCTAAGGCTCAGGCCACTTGGAAATTTCATAGTGGAGGAAAGGAAAAAGAAAAGGAACAGTGGAGAGATGGAATCTAATATAATCCTAAAGAAAGAAATCTATGCTCATCTGAATGGCACCAAAACACAGCTAGATAGATGTGATTAATTAAAGCAACTAACAAACAGAGACTAAACACCCAACGTGTACAAATTACTGTGCTTCTGGGGATAGAAAGACATGGACATTGCTGTCATTCAGGGCGGCAAATTGTTAGCATTAGAACCATAGTAAGTAGTATTAGTATAGTGTTTTAAACTTGAAGAGCTTTTCTTGCATGATGGCTCACACCCCCCGTAATAATGCATGTTTTTAATCCTGTCACTTCACATACGAAGAGACTGATAGAGAGGTTAAGTATGTCTAACGTCACAGCGCAAGAGCTGAGACTGAGAGTAAGGTCTTCAGATGATACGGTTCAGCCTGTTCTTCTCTAACCATACAGGCTGGTGGAAGCTGACAAACGTTTTCAATTTATGAACATGTATAATCATGGAGCCAGATTTTATCTTTTCACACAACTTTCTGATTAGTGGGCCCACAGTGGAATAAACACAAAACCCCCTTACCTTCTGCCACCATTACCACCAACCAGCAGACCAACAGCCAGCAGGAGAGGCAGAGCCTGTGAGCCATGGCTTCTACCTGAGCAGTCGCTACCTTGAACCTAGCATTGGTTTAAAAGGGAGTTGGTGAGTCACCGGCCTGAGTCAGGTAATTTGCATTTGCACAGTGGACCGCAGTGGTCAGAGCCTGCGGTGTGAGGCTAAGAAATCAGCAAGGAAGTACCAGAAAGTATTATCAACCAGAAGCTTCTTGCAATGACAGCTAAATATCCTTCATTTGTCCTTAGAGTTGGACTGTATTCTTTTAATTCCCTCAAGTCTTCTCCCCTGTTTACTTGTATGTATGAGTCTCCCTCCACAAGAGAAAGATTCTGTGTGGGAAATAGTCAACGCTGCTTCCTTCTGTGGAGCTTACTTACTTAAAAAAGCCAAACAGGACGGGGAGGGCATTATCAAAAGGCTTCCTGACCCAGGCAGTTTGGAGAGGCTGTTCGTAGGCCTCTGACCAGGATTTATGGCTTCTCTGCTTTTGTGCAGGAGCTAAGGGCAGCAATCAGCAAAGTATCTTCTCTGATGGCCACTGTCTAAACAAACACCAGAGTTTGGAGAGATTAACTTAGCGAGTTGTCTTCCAGGCTCTTCCTTATGCACCAAATTTCCAATCAGATGGACATGATACATCTGTACCCAGGTATTTCCTGAGAGAAGGATGGGCAGCTGCTGGAGGAGTGGGATGGGATGGCCACAAGTGATTAAGAGCGTAATCTTGGTACACAGTCCAACTTTAATTTTCTTAAAAAAAAAAACAACAAAAGTATTTATTGATTTTTAGAGAGAGGGGAAGGGAAAGGGAGAGAGAGAGAGAAACATTGAGGAGAGAGAAACATTGATCAGCTGCCTCCTGCATGACCCCTACTGGGGATCGAGCCCACAACTCGATCCAGTCAGTGTCCTGACTGAAAATGGAACTGGTGACCTTTTGCGGCATGGGCTGATGCTCAGCCACTGAGCCACACCAGTGGGTCTGTTCTTTTCCCTACCAGCTGGGTAGCTTGGGGTGAGTCCCTGGGAGTTATTGAACCCTCAGGTGCCTCATCTGTAAAATGGGGCTTGTATTATTTTTCTCAGAGGATTATTGTGGAATAAAAGAGTCAATTGACTTACAACTATTTCAGCGTGTGGCCTGTGAAGTGAGTGGTTGTGGTTATAAAATTATTCTGACTCCAATTTTTTCTTCTCTTAGGAGGTGGTACTTGCCAAGTCATTCAGTTGCTCAAAAGGCCTCCACTTTGAACAGAGCATTTTCCTGGGCATTACAGAACAGCAACACAGAACACAGACCCTAGCTTCGAAGAGCTGACAATCGAATGAGGAAGACCAGGCAAACAGAGAACCAAAATGAATAAGGCAAAATGGTAAATTCCACAGTCTTGATATAATCCTGGGCAAAATTCTAGAACAGATGATTAAACGGACGATTTGTCAGCAGCTTGGAAAGGAAGCAGGGATCATCCAGACCCAGCTCATTTCCTTTGATTAAGGCACTTCCCACTGGTT